ACACCCCATGTCATGGTGTGTCTCCCTTATCCTCTTCACACCAATCAAATCCCTCCATTTCAAATATCTAAGGGATATCAAATCACAAAATTACGGAATTAAAGATTTTAAGGAAAATGCAATATCTCTACACTCCTACATGTGAACACACACATGTCACCACACATTTGCTTCACACATGTGCCATAAATACTTACAAATGTTATGTGTCATATCCAAACTAGGGTCCCACATCTAGGGTTAGGATTTCCACATCATGCCCGTTGGGCAATGATGTGGTTACCACATGGGATGCACATGTGGCATACATTGGCCATTTATGTGCTACACGCCATATGTGAGGACGTCCTTAATTGGAATTAGCACACAACAATTTTACCAAAGAACTTTTCGTTTGAAATAATTTTTCAAAAATCATCTAAAATCATGATAAATCATTTTTGATAAATTCTCATCAAATATCATGGTCTTGCACTTCTCATAAATCCGGTGGGGAAGACCCAATCCCACATGAGGTCGGGCTACATGGTATTCCACTGGGCTAGACCCCAAAACCGAATCCAATTTTCTTAGACCAACCCAACAGGCACCTATGAGTCACAAACTTCAGTCCAAACATGAGTGGACCTATCAAAGCTGACCAAATATTTGGCTGGATCCCAAGGTGTTCAGCGGATTACAGGTGCCCCCCAAGGACATGCACTCTTGCGGATGCGGGGGTCCTCTCTCAGCACGTGTGCACAATTGTGAGCAAGCTACATATGTTAAGGATTTGTGCTTATGTCCTCTTACGGCCCAGCTATGCTCACACAAGGCTTAAACACAACATATCTCAAACAAATCGGAATCCACCGATCCCCAAGCCCTGGCTCATAGGACATGAGGCGAACGCAGTCATACCGACCCTGACTAGAGGAAAAACCCTAAAACCTCTCGGTTCACAAAATAGTCCAGGAACCTCACCTCAATCAATCAAACAAGGTTATTTTGGCCTATCTGAAACCCAGTAAACAAAGACTCCAATAGCCACTATGTTCCTGGTCACTCCCACTGTGACTCTAAAAAGTGCTGGCATTGCACACAAGGCCTTGAAAGGCTATTTATCCAACAAAGTTGACATCTAAATTGATTTAGGTTTCAATATAAAAAGGAAAGTAAGTAGTTCCTATTTTAATGGGGTCTAGGTGAGAAGTGCGTACAACACTAAGGAGAGAGAAGGAAGTTAGGTGGAGTCCTAGAAGAGTGTGTTAGTTAGAGAGAAAATATTGCCCAGAAAATTGTGGCTTTAGAGCATAGGGGTATGGATGGATAGGAAAGAGGGAGGTTTCTAATTTATTTTTATTTTATTTATTCCATTTCAAGTATAAAGGGAGAAATGTAACCTCACGTGAAGGAGACTTAGAATTTTCAGACTTTAACTTATAGAAGAAAAAAATGTGTTCTTCCTTGGAGAAAGCTTACACAACTGATTGGTTTGCTCTCTTGTCTCTTGCATGTGGTGTGCTTGATTTAGGGTTTATGTTTTTGTGGCTAGAATTTCTTCTCTCTACTATCTTTCCTTTTTGTTTTCACTATGTCACTTCTCTTCTAGCCTTTCGAGCATCTTTTTTCCAAAGAGCCACCAGTACGAATAGGAATAGTCTCATGGGAGCCAACCCATTCCATAATGTTTTTAACCTAGTATATTAATCAGCAATAGTCTCATGGGAGCCAACCCATTCCATAATGTTTGTAACCTAGTATATAAATCAGCAAGAGAGGAGTCTCCTTGGCTGCGGGCTACAAGTTCACTTCCAATTAGATAAAATTTAAGCCTTCTTTTTTTGTTTGAAACTTTTAAATTTTGCATCACAAAATCAGTGATGAAGCACTTTACAAAACTGAAAATGTGTTTAACGACCCAAGTTGCCAAGCAAAATCACGCCATCAAAATTAAAGTTCACCATCAAACACAAAACGAATGGCCAAACTCAATCCAATGCCCTCGATTGAAGCTCAACCTCCCATGTGGAAATCCTGTGTTTGCCCATGCACCATGTGATTGTGGCCATGTGCCAATATTGTCTGCTGTCCATGCGACAGCATTGCCTTTGCACCATTTTCCTCCCCTGAGAAATTTATTCAAGCCTCCATCGGGGGATTTCGAGAAACCTCCAATACCGAGGCAATGATCCCCAACATAAACGTCCTTGAGGTTCCAACATCCTTCAACCCGCCAATACACACCATAGTTGTTGGGAGATCTCCCAACCACGGTGGCGATCCCGCTCCGGAATCTCGCTCCTTCATTTCGAAAATGAGGTCTTCAAAGGATCATGATTTTTTAATTTTGGGATCTCCGCATGTTAGGGATCTTGATCCCCTCTGTTTGGGACCTTGATAATTTTATCCCCACATTAAAGACCAGGATAAACACCAAAATGATGATTTTCAAGCCAGCTAGCAATGTAACTATATTTTTAATATAATTGCATTAATTGTTGGCTATAAACAAAAAGATCCCCACTTTAAAGAGTATGAATAGTCCTAACTATATATCTTGTTTAAGGTTAGGAGCAAGATCCCCAAAAGATTGGGATCGACTATCCAAATCCCAAAAACTCAGGATTGAAATTCCTAACATTTAGGGATCTCGATCCCTAACATATGTATTGTACAGACAACGTTCAACCACAGGGATCTTCTAGCCTTTCGCAAACCGCTAGCTCCCAACCCCTATCCTACTCCTAATCCCAACAACTATGATCCACACATCCCCAAGAAAACTAAAACAGAGATCCCTGTGCATACGTGGTATCAGTTAGGACAACACTAGAGCTATTTCCCATCAGTCATTCCAAATATGGCTTTCATGGCACCGCTTATACCACCTTTGTCCTTAGAATTCGTGCCCATATGAGATGATGGGTTGGAAATGGCATCCTCTGTTGTGGATTCCTTGTCATGAGAGAGGGCATCCTCTGCTTTGGAGGCTTTGTTATCAGGGTATGGGGTGCTTATTGGGTTTGTTGTCATAGAAATGGGAAAGCCTTGGTTTCTTCATTTTTAGCTATCTTGGTAGCAGATCAGGTCAACTGGTAGATATTGGAGAGATCTAAGTGTCTGAGTAACATTTCCAGGGTCTGCATGGTGAGCTTTGGATGAGCCTCGTGTGTGACCTTTGGATGGGTGAGCTTGGGATGATGGGTTGCTAGATGGGCTTTGGATGAAGGAAGTGCTGGATGAGCCTTGGACTATGAGGCTGTGCTTGGGGGACTTTAGATTGCTCTTCCAATTCTGCCCACATAGCTTAGGCAGCAGTCATGACCATTATGGGGGGCCCATTATCAGGTTGACAGAGCTCAAAAACCATGACTTATTCAGGCATGTGGCATGTCTCCCAGAGAAGTTGATGAGACAATGTCACATCTAGTTCGGTATGAGTACCATCGAAGGAATCTAACTTGTCTTTGCATCTGACATCCATCCAAACAACCTGTCTCCAATGGTGTAATTGTAGCCATAGAGTTTTTCAGTAACAAGTACAGCACTGTGATATCTTCTTCCCATTCTTGCTGCATTTTTTCAGGGTTTTCATCCTATTTTTTACATTTACCCCCTTGAAGCCCCCCCCCCCAATGCATTTTTTCAGGGTTTTTCATCCTTTTTCAGTGTATTTGCTGATTTTTTTCCATGGAGAATTCAAGAATGCCCATCTATTTCTGGTATTTGGCCTCCTCTAGTTTTCCACCATTCCTGAACTTTTCCATGGATTCTGCATCCGTTTCCCTCATGCATGAGTTCCATGCTCCAAACTTTGATCTATAATACCAAAAATCTAAGGAAAAATTAGATATAATACTAATTTAATGGAACAAAGGCCGAGGGAGAGAGGAAGTTCTTTTCAAAGAAATGTTCAGATAATGAAAAAAAACCATAAAGGGAGTTAATATAGCCTTAGAGAATAATGGACGATTTTAAAATAGTCTGATTGATTCCTGATTTTTCAGTGAAAAGTCCCAGTCACTATAGGGCCTATCTAGAACTGATGACAAGACAATTCTGAGTCAAATCGCATGATTCCACAACTCGTATTTTTTGAACACTGGCCAAAAGCTCATCCTAAGTTTAGAACCTCTGTTGAAATTACACAATGATATCTAATCCTCAAATTTTGACTTGGATTATGTCACAGATGAATCATCAAATCAAATCAACATGCATAAGAAAGTTCAGGCCTAAAGTTTTAGGACCTTGATCATAAATATGGAGATCAGTATTTGACCCTTAAATTATGCATCAAGCCAAGTCCAATCTGAGTAGCCAACTCAAATCGACATGCATGCAGGCAATGAAGTGCTCAATCGAAGTCTTAGGCTATGATCAAATTATGTAACTCGGCATCTGCTGCAACAGATTTTTATTAAGCATCATCTTTTAAACAACCCAATAAACTAGTACTTTACGATAGAATCTAACAAAGTTGAAGTTTTCTTTGTTTTCTATACCCTACAATCTGAAAAAAATTAATAACATTGATGTCTATGCCAATTTCTTTTAGCACAAGCAAAAATTTCACAGCAAAAGGTTGGCCCAAGTATTTCAATGAGCAAGTGAAAATTGAATGGAATTCTGCTGCATCTCAGAGAAGAACTAAGTCTTAACAATAATAAAGATTACAAAATGGTTAGGGCAGGGATTAACTTATTGCACTCTTCAAATTGAGATTCCTATCGCTTTTAATAACAAACAAACAAATCAAACCATAACAAATTTCTCAAAACCACAGAAAACAACATGGTAACATGTTTGTAACAAATATTTCCACTTATACTCTCGTCATATAAAACTCTGGCAGCCCAATATATCTCAAAGAAATTATCTGAAGCAAAAGAAAAAACTGTATGGAGGCTTTCAATTCGCCTTGATACTAAGTAAAACCAAATCTCGTGAACCATTCAAATTATCTTGCTAGTTTCCTTACTCATGTTAAACAAAGCTTTCATAGATGCTGACGATACCTCACAGGAGAAGATAACCACAGTTGTCGATTTGGTGTTTGCTTGTTCAAAACATAGGTACCCAGATTCCCAAGCTTCACAGTCAAAACTTGATTCTGCGAAAATGAACTTTTATTATTCAAATATAGGATTGAACAAATTCAGCTAATTCAGGAACAGGCATCAAGCTCACCCCATAATCTATGTCAAAGCCATCAACTTGAATGCAGTCACCATATTCCTGTTGAATATCGAAAGATTAAAATACATAATAAAGTACTAAATTTCATCATTATTATTTAAAATTGCATAACAATCAAAGAAAACCGAAAGCTAAAATAAAATAAACATACTTTTACACTTAGTATACATGAAACTTTAACACATGCGACTCATAGTACACAAGGCAATCAAGGTGGCAAAGTCTAAAAGCGCCAAATGCAAGTCTATGTGTAGCACCCCAAAGATACAGGAGCATCTCTTCTCATTCAGAATTTCAGAGACAGACCATGACCAGCTGAATACATCATAAGACCCAAAATAGACACAAAAGTTTATATATATCTTAGAAAGGTTCATCATCATCATCATCATCACACAACTCCGCCTTGGCCGGCCCCCTGCCAGTCCATAACGCTCCCAACCCCAAGTAAAGTAGGAGAATTGTATTAAGTAGGCAGCCATCATAAAACTTTGCCGCAACTTTCCATGAATATTTTAGAAAGGTTGAGACTAGAATATCACTTAGCAAGCAATCCTCCTTTAAGAAACTTATACACTTCGTATGAATAGGCACAAAATTTAGAAACCTCGATGGCAATTTCAGTTAAGAAATTCAGTGAGTATTACTTCTGCATATGTTGCATCAATCCAAAAGCACAAGTTTCAGTTTTGTCATGTTTGTTATTATTCATGCCACTAGAATTTCTGCAGCTAATTGAAACACTAGCATGAAGAACATTACTAACTTAGACAAATTTATAATTCAGTAAGCAACAAATAAGTGATCTTAGTATCCTCCAAAAAACACAAAAAGTTGTGATAAGGATAAAATCTTAAAAGATCCAGACTCTGTGTGTGTGTGTGTGTGCATGTCATTCACTGTCTCTAGTTGGTATATTCTCATTTCACCAATACACTCGAGGATTAAGATACCCTCTCCTCTCTAACAAGTCACTTGCAGATAAGGTACTCGTCATAACTTGCCAAGAAGAAACCCAAAATTGCCAACAGGAATTGTGGATTTCTAGAATGACACATTTAGTCTTCCATCAGGACTGGTGTTCACAAAATAAATACAGGTCAACCAAACCAAATTACCTCCACCTACAGGTAATTTCAAATTTGTCCTTGAAACTATATGCAAACTAAACAACCTAATATAGTTTGTAGCATAGGTCGAAATTATTTTAGGTCACAAAATTAATAGTATTAGAAAGAGCTTACTAGTAGTAAATTAGTGGATCCCTATGTATATACACATACCAAAGCCTCCATAGTCTGAACTTAATAGTTTATGTCAGTCAGGATCTTTCTATTGGAATCACTCACTTAAGGAATATCTTCATGTAATGCCTGTGTCCGTTTTTAGTCATAGATATAATTCATCCATGTCACAGGGTTCCTTCTTCCCTTGAGGGGAGTATGGCAGACCCACAATATAATAGATACCATGACCATCTATACAGCCCTTCCAATATCATCAGGAAGACTTATGGGTGGCTGGCTGAGCTGAACTCCTGGGTTCAATCAGCACTCCCTAAAGATAATGATCTTCTTCACAGGCCGCAGTTTCATATTAAATGTTCCAGTAATAATACAACTTAGTTGGAGTCCTCTGTCACCAGCCTGGCTTAAGTTGATAAGAGAAAGTGCTACCTAAGGAAACCTGGAGCAAGCAAGAAAATGGATTTACGAGTGTCATATGAAATGACCTCAAACAATATTGCTGAACTCCAAGCCATGCTAGACGCAATCCTGGCTTGCAAAAGATTGCGATAGTGAGGATTCTTAGAGAGAGTGACTCATTGCTGGAGGATGCACATGAGATAAATTGTCTGGCCTGGCAATGCTGGAGTTAGTGGTCTTCTATAAACTCTATCCTTGAAGAACTTATGCAAGGCCCCTTATATTTATCATGAATTTAACAATATATGGCAGATGCAGCGAGCAAATAATGGATGTTCTCTCACCCAAGGCATTTCCATCTATCCCCACCTCAATCACCAGTCAGCACTGAAAGAACCCATCTTCTTAACTAAGATAAACTGCCTAAGCCTGTATAAGATGACTGGTCCTCTTGGCCATTGAAGTACAATCACATTCTGTCCTCTAATATCCGTTGTCTTGTTATTTTCTACTCAGCATCAGCTAGTAGCCGAAGCGAGTTCCCATGTAACTTGGTACATGGGAAAAAGCGTCCAACACCCAGGCGAGTATTTCACAAACTCACCCGAGTACCATAGAATTTGAGCTACAGTACTTTATTATGTACTTCTCTCTCTCTCTCTCTCTCTCTCTCTCTCTCTCATAAAAAGAGTTGCCCTTTCTTTTTTCTTTTTTTTCTGCGTCTTTAAAGGCCTGTAAGACTCGCCCCGAGTTACTTGGGGCAAGCAGGGCGGAGTCCCAAGCCCAAGACAAGTATTTAAACCTTGGTTTCAATACTAGCAGTTTCATCAACATCAACTCGAAGTTTGAAGCTAGTAATTCTTTTATGACTAACAAAACAAAACCCAGGGTAAAAAAAATACCTCAAACTTCCCTTGCAAGTCACTAATGGTTGCATCAGCCAACTTATGATACTCATCCTCCTGCAATAGAGAACTGAAGCCAACATGGTCATTAGTAGAATTTGGAGCACCCAATGTCTGCAATTGAAACAAAGGAAACCAAAGAAGCAAAATGTAACAGCATCTCAAATAAATACATGATATCGGCACGTGCTGCGCATCAAACACACAATGCCTTCCAGATTGGGTTCTAAACGAGTTCAAGATAGACAAGGAATGTAGCCAAGCAACATAAGAACTTAAAATAGTCTTTCATAGTCTTTCATGTCAGGTGACAACTATCACAGGCAAAACACAATAATGGAAAACTGTCGAAATAAAAAGAAAAAGCATATGAATTGTTTTACAAACACTCTAGTCCAAGATCTCTCATCCATAGAGTATAATAAAAAAGACGAACTAGGTGCAAGTAATCTAGGAATTCAGAAAGCCTCATACATCTACCATATGTCGATTTACAAATATATGATAATTTCATGAACATATATTACTTAATAGATGCTCACAAAAACTTAATTGTCAGGACTCATGAGTTCTAATTTTTGTTGAGGAGCCAATAAATAATATCCGCTCTGATAACCAAGAAAATCCAATTTCCCCAGCTTGCACCTTACATAAGATTTTTCCAATCGCTTCCACAAAAGCAAAAAGCTTTCCCAGACCACCACAAGTGAAATTATTACGAGAATCAAACCCACTATAGCAATTCACCAAAAACTCAACAAGGTAATAATTTCTTCTCCAGACTTTATGAATATTTCAATAACAAAACCCGTAAAGCCACTCCATAACCTCCATAATTTTCCAAATTAAAAAAGAATCAAGTCCAAAAAAATGTCCCCTCTCAGAATTGAGAGGAAAATGAACGGGAAAAGTAAGGACTTCTAAATTCACCTGTAATCTATGGTCGCCGGACCTTGTTCGACATCCAAGCTCGATGCTCGAGAGCAAAAGGCCCTAATGTCCCATGTATTCTCGAACGCATTTAAGGGAGTGAGATTGGTATTGAAGCCAGTGTCTAAGTACTTAGAGGACTCAAGAAATGGGGCGTGACAGAGAGGAGATAAAAGTAAGGACCTCAATGTGCAAACTTTGCGGATTAACCTAGACGACAGAGAAGTAGCCATTCCTCGACCATTGACACTAATCGATATGAATTGGTAGAACAGAAACCCTACAAAAAGCTTGGCGAAGGAAGAGAGCGTGAGAGAGAGACAGAAAAGTGCTTGAGTTAGCAGCAGGGTTCGCAAAATCAAACTGGAACGGTTAACCCGACTCGACTTACGTAAACCGGCCGAATCAACCGTTCCGGCCGCGCAAGCCCCGAGCGGGCAAAACAATATTGAAAACAATTAAAACAATCACAATATAAACAATAATTAAAACAAAACACATACAAATAAAGTTGAAAATTAATTTAAAAAATAATTTTAACTCATTTTATATTTTTCAAAAGCTATTTTTAAAATTTTTTAAAAAGATAAGAAAATATAAAAGTGAGTATTAATGACCAAAACAATTTTAATAAATGAAAGAATATTTAAAAATTCATTACAAATCAAAATCTTTATTTTTGTAAATTTATATACATTTTTTTGAATTTTTTTTAAAATACCAGTTGATAGCCCTAACTGGTCATTGGCCTGTTCCGATCTAACTGGGCGATTAGCGGATAGATCGGGCGATTTTGTGAACAATGGTTTGCAAAGACGAGTGCTATTATTAAATCCAAATTTGGTGACATTTTATTTAGAAAAAATTACACATATATCTGTTATTTTTTACGTTATTACAGATGTACCAAATAGTTTCTATTATTACATGTCTATCCGTTTTTTATCTTGCATAACGCAATTTTTTTTAAAAAAAAAGATGACTTTACCCTTTCTCGGGTATTGAACAACCGAATTGAAGGGTTTTTCGGATGTTCAACATCTAAATTCAATGTATTTTCGGTTGTTGAACAATATCAGTCACATTTCAAAAAGCCAACATCCGATTCGGATGTTGGACATCAAAAATGTCACATTCTTTGATGTCCAATATTCGAAAATGTGACTGCGAAATTCCAAAAACCTTAAAGAGGGTAAAGTTATCCTTTTTAAAAATTACGTTATAAAAGCTAAAAAACGGACAGACATGTAATAACGGAAACTATTTGGTACATCTGTAATAATGCAAAGTATAACAGATATGTATGTAATTTTCCCTTTTATTTATTATAGAGATTATATACAATGAGACTACTTACTTTTGGTAGAGTATGTCACAATTAGTTATTAGCATGTGATGTGAAATCTAATAGCTTGGATTTGTCACAAATTTGAAGAAAATTTCTTTTGAACTTTGAATTTGGTCAATGAAATAAATGATGCCACCCAATTTCACATCCAATCGTCAAGATCAATTGTGACCACCTTGTATTAAAGGTAAATGGTCTCATTATATACTTTCCCTTTATGATACTATGGAAATTTTTAAAGACATTAGGCACACTCGATTTGTATTTGAGAAAATAAACCTATGTATATTTAGAGATTCATAGAGAAAAGTACGGGTGGCAATAGACCCAGACCTGACCTGGACTCGGCAGGTAATACCCGACAACGGTCCTGGTATTGGTCCAAAACTAGACCCGAACACTATTCGAGTCTGGGACCCGACAGTAAAAAAAAGGGCAAAAAAAAAAAAGCAACTCTTAGTGATGATGGCAATGGACCCAACCAGACCAAAGACTCAATGGGTACGGGTATGGGTCCAACTTTTGGACTCGACGGGTCGGGTCCGGGTCCGAGTCCAAAACCTAGACCCAAATACATTCAGGTCTAGGTCTATGTCTAGCTGAACTATACCCGACCAGTTGCTACCCCTAAAGAAAGGGCCACATAATAACAAAATTCATTAATTGATGGAACAACAGGCACCTGCATATTAATATCCACTAAAGAAAAATGATTGATACTTTCATTACTACTAAGAGGGAAGGTGGAGGCGAGTATTTTGCCAATTTGCAATTCTCATACAAAAATTCCTATCAATCTTCTAATGAGGAAAAAACAACAAGAAAAAATCCAAATTTTGAAAGGGATAACATTTTTTAAAGCGAGGGTGTCCTCTAGGAGATGCAAGTTAGTTCAAATGAAAAGCTCAAAAAAGGTAAGAGAAGGCCCAAAAGGACATGGTTGGAAGTAGTGAAAAAAGACATAGAGACTTATGACCTCATTGAGGCTATGGTCCTTAATAGAGCAGAATGACAGAATATGATTCATGTAGATGACCCTATTTAGTTAAAAAAAAGCTTCGAAAATGATGACTTTGCAAGGAAAAGGGGATTGGTAGAGGCTGTGAAGGGTGAGAATGTGTCTCATTGAAGCCAATCATAAAGAGTTTGCCCTTCCTAGTGAATCCCCCTTTTGCCTTCCTGGTTGCTTGATCCTGCACCAGACGACACTTATTAGAAAACAAGACAAGACACTTATTTGTCACCCAACTGTCCAACATATATTAAATTAAGTGAAATATTGGGAACATGATGAAAGTTTTCAAGTACCAAAGATTTACAGAATAGACTAGGGATGCTAGTGTTACAATGTAAGTAAAATATGAGACATGTTAGTAATCAAATAAATAAGTTTACCAAAATAGAGTTTTACAAAGGATAATTGTGAAAGCTGTCACGACAAATGGTATGATACATCTAAATCTACCAACTTGGTGTTGGCTGAAAAGTCTATAGTTATTAAAATATGACCAAGCTGTTAGGGCATATTTTCGTTCATTGGAGTGAAAATTTGAGATGGAGCAGAATGAGAGTCAATTGAACCAGGGACTAAGAATAAAAGCAATTGCAGTTCATAGAGTCGGATGGTCCGACTTCTTGCAATAATTGCAACAAAACTGCTTCTTGTAGCGATCAACAATGTGTCCTTTTTGTTTACATATGTTTGTTGCACTGGGCCATAATTTGAACCTTAATTTGGCCACCGGTAATAGTTAAGGCTAGGTCAATGATGTCTTGTGAGCTAGATTTGTAAACCCTAAGAGAGTCTAGGTAAGTCTCCTCAAAAGGGACATCTGAGATGCCATCATCTAATGATGGAGCGAGAGTACATAAACGATGCTCTAATGCTTTTAAACTCCAAGTACATCTCCATAAGAAAGAATAATAAATTTATTGCTTTAGTGACATTCTTGGTGGGGGACTCTATCTTTATCAAGTCCATCTCATTCCATATACTTGAGAAGTTATTGAAATAGTCTTAAACAAATGTGTCAAATTATTGTGTTCTCATGCGCTATTTCTCAAGTGCATATAAATAAGTGGTGTCAATTTGAGAGTAAATAATCCCTAAGTACTCCTCTATGTTTATGTTACCAATGGGGATTGCAACTAATTGTTATTAACTAAATTCATAATCTATGTCACATGGAACAATCTCTACTAAGCCCATTACGACATCCGTTTTCATAAGTGGATTGGGGAATAGACTTATTGATATGGTAAAGCTTTCTATGTTCCCCCTACAATATAGAAGTTCTATGTTTCATACGGCCGTCCATTTTTTATCAAGAGAGCCACTCACCGTTTGATCTTAGATCTGACATCTCAAAGTATTTTATTTTTAGTTTTTTAATACAATGTTTTTTAATATGAAATTTGGTACGTGTCATCTTCTAATTGGGGCGCACCTATAAAAAAATATTAACAATAATTTTTCGATAAAACATAATAACCAAAATACCCCTTGAATCTTTCAGGGGTATTTTGGTCATTTTATTTTATTGAAAATATTTTTTTTATATTTTTCGTTAGTGTGAGTTTACTAAAGGAATGGACATCCAAAATTTGGTGTCAAAACAGTTTATAGAAAAAAAAATTAAAAATAAAACAGTATAGAGACGTGACATTGTGATTGAGGCAATCTTTGCCCTCAATTCAAAAATAGACGGTTGGATAAAGGGGAACATAGAACTTCTATGTTGTAGGGGGAACATAAAAAGCTTTCCCTATTGATATAACCCCATAACATTATTCTCATGAGAAACCATGCCATATGAAAAGGACACGAATGGTAGTTCTTTTTATCATGGTGCATAGAATTAATTGCACTTCAATGGCAGCATGCTTAGACTCCATGAAAAAGGACAAGATACTTGAGAGAGCTTTAAAAACAATTACGGAATACACACCAACCACCACATCCAATTTAGATGCCCCACTATATCAAGTATTTGCAGTGATAAATAGTGAATTTTATGAATAAGATATTTTGGTGATGTAGAGAGGGATATTAGCGATAAAGATTTATGGGTGATATCCGTCTACAGGTATAGGCTGTAATGGAACAATAAACAAACAAACGTAAGACCAAAAAAAAAAAAGAGAAGAGTGGAGATTTTTTAAAGAGAGAATATTGAAATAAGGAAGACAATTTTGATGATGGGAAGGGAGATATAAGATTAGGGGGGCCAATGTGTCAAACGGTGTAACATTTTGGGGAGTTTCACAAGTTTATTATTCAATGGAGAAAAAAAAGTTCATATGCGGATCTAACAAAGTTGGACAGTCGGGGGCACAAGTTCATATGTGGGTGGGCACGCATAGTAATCGTGTCTGGAGAAAAAATATATGAAAGAATATATGGTAAGTACAAAAAAGATAGAAAAGTTTAAAGATGTTCCTAGATTACAACTATGATGGTTTAGAGAGAAAAATGATTTCAAAATAACAAAATAGAGCTTTATATATGTTGTTAGAAACTGCTCAAACTCGGATGTGAAAAAGAATGTGCTTATACTCAGACTCAGATATGAAAAACAATGTGCTTCTGCTCTTTCCAGCTGTGTCCTTCATGGATTAATGGTCCACACGTAGTAATGAAGCATTTTAATGAAATGTCTTTGCTTATGCTACAGTGGCACTGATACCATAATAGATTTAAATAGCTGATTGGTGCACATGGAAAACGAGAGGAATAAGAGAAATATGATATTCTTGGATAAATGCTTGTAAAAAAAGGGATGAAATCATTACATAGTAGCAAATTACACTATAAGACCATTAATCTTTATTACGAAGATATCACAATTATTTCTAATTATTACATACCAAAGTGGATAGCTTGAGGTGTGTAACGAAGTTTGAGAAATCTTGTTTTGAATTGAGTCTAGTTAATGATACTCTTACAACCATTTGATTTGAAATATGAGGGATAAGAGTGATTACGACTTCCCTGTATAAAAAA